CATCTAATTTCCTGACTGCCTATCACATTTTTGGAGGCCCTGGAGTACCAGGACAGTGAAAACACCCACAAAATCACCCCATTTTGGAAAGCAGACACCGCAAGGTATTTTCTAAGAGACATATTTAGTCTTTTGAAAATGTTATTTTGTGCCACAAGCTTTTGGAAAATGCAGGAAAGAAAATTAAACTTATTTTTTTACACAAAGTTGTCAATTAATAATAAGATATTTCTGATACACATCATAAGCATACTTAGAATTACACCCCAAAACACATTCTGCTACTCCTCCTGAGTATGGAGATTCCACAAATATGAGACTTTTGCACAGCCTAGCCACAGAGGGGCCCAAAATCCAAGGAGCACCTTCATGCTTTTTAGGAGCATAAATTACGCATTTAATTTCCTAACTACCTATCACATATTTTGAGTCCCTGGGGTACAGGACAGTGAAAACTCCCATACAATGACTGCATTTTGGAAAGCAAACACCACAAGGTATTTTCTAGTCTTTTGCCACACATTTATGGAAAATGCAGAATGAAAATGAACATTAAGTGACACAAAGGTTTCAATTTTATAAAATATTTCTCAAACAAAGCAGGGACATACTTTGAATTACACCCCAAAGCACATTCTGCTACTCCTTTGGGGTATGGCTATACTACATGTGTGAGACACAAATCAACCAGTTGTATCAAAACCAATGTACTTGAATGGTCACATCTATATGAGTGGTCATGGAAAGTAGCTTAGTTTAGCGTCACCTATAGCAGTCCCTGTTCCAATAAGCCAAGCAAGCGTAGCCTGCCTGTAGTGTCTGCCCACAGGAATGCCATGCTCACTGGCCAGGAAGAACAGGAGGCAAAAGAAAGGAAGAGCAGTTCCTGTGGGTCCAGGAGTGCAGTTTCCTACAGGGACTGACTGGGTCTGGTGTCTTGCAGGAACGTAGTCAGTACGACGTGCACATGAGTCAGTTCAGGCACAGACATGGTCAGCAAACAGGCAAAATATTGGTCAAGAAACAGGCCAGGGTTAGTGCAGGTTGCAGGCAGAGGCAACACTACACTGGTGTGGCAGTTAAAAGGAACACAGTTGCTGGCATACACTGGTCTGGTGACACTGGGACTGATATGGTGGTGGTCAGGAAAACTGTTGCTTGTGGCACTGGCCTGGAGTGGTGGCAATCAGGAACACTGATTCTAGCTACACTGATTTGGTAGCACTGTGGCTGGTGTGGTGATGATTGAAGTACTGTGACTGGCTGCACTATTAGGGCTAGTTTACACGTGAGGTTGAGGGACAGCAAAACCTTGCAGTTGAGCTGTGGTTTTAGAACCCTTCAGCCGCTGTGCCCTTTAGCTGCAGAAGCAGCAGCTGGGGTGTGCAGATGCTGTGACTGCGATACTATGCTTTGCAGTTGTGGCAGGAACAGGGGCGGACTGACCATTTGGAAACTCGGGCACTGCCCGAGGGCCCGGGGTCAGTAGGGGGCCCCATAAGATGCCCCTGGTACCTTTTTCATAGGCTTTTTTGAGTTTGGGCAAGGACACAGGGGTCCCATGATCCCCTATTGCCCAGGGGCCCCATGAGTTGTCAGTCCGCCCCTGGGCAGGAATATTGCCCCCTGCACTCCTGCCGATTGTGACCCATTCAAGTGAATGCGGTTGCTTGTGTGGGGTCCAAGGGGTTAGAGCAGGTGGTGAGGACACAATACAATGCTTCCTCACTGCTAGTCAAATGCTCTCTGAAGAGAGATCTGAACACTCATGGCTCTTCAGAGAGCATCACACAAGTCCTTATGGTGACACTGTGGCTGTTGTGGTGGTGATCAAGGACACTGTGACTGCTGTGGCAGTGATCAAGGACACTTTGACTGCTGTGACGGTGACCAGGGACACTGTAACTATTGTGGCGGTGATCAGGGACACTATAACTGTGCATAAAAGTAAAAGTGCAGCGCCAATCATACAAAATTGGATATCTAATTATGACATATGACAAAATAATATAAAAAAAAAACAAATTCAAGGTTCAAGTGAAAGTAAAGTCCATGTAATCAAAACTTCCAGTGAAAAAACTTGAAAGTAACAGTCCACCACCAAAAAGTGCACTTGTTTCCAGTAATTCATCCAATAAAGCCATCACAGTCTCCCTGTGTATTCAAAACTCACTAAAAGGCTGTCATTACAATAGTTTTTTACTGGAAGTCTGATTATATGGACGGTTATTTTACTTTCAATTGAACCTTGGTTTTTGTCATATGTTTTTGTAATATGTCTTAATTAGATACTTCATTTTGTATGATCGGCGCTGCACTTTTACTTTCATGCACATTTATTTAGGTTTGGTATACTACCTGTTGGTGCTAGGAAAAGGAAAAAAGCAATGCTTTCTGAGCATAGTATTGGAGTAAAAATCATATTTAATAAAAAAGTTTAACAAGTCACAAAAGGAAAACTTGAGTTAAGGCACATCACAAGCAAGCCTTCTCCCGCTATGTTATCTGGACCGCAACTGGCAGTATCCCTCCAGGGCTGCGCTGTCACTGTTTAGGAGCAGGTTATCCCAGGACACTAGGCCTCCATCACTGGTGGTGGTGACGTCACCGGATCCAAGGACGGAAGAGAGGCTAGTGGACGCACATTTGGAGCATGCACTTTTGTGAGTTGTTAAACTTTTTTTATTAAATACTACGCTCAGAAAGCACTGCTTTTTTCCTTTTTCTTACCCCATGACAGATAAATTTCTATCTGATAAACTGGCTGCTTTCATATTGGATTATATTCCTACCTAGCAATTATCGATTTATTATTTTTGGACATTGGGGACTAATCACCCCTTAGCATTGTTTGTACTCTCTTGTGCGCCACATTCTTTACTATTGTGTTTTGGTTTACCTATTGGTGCTAGCTACCTTATATAATTAGATATAGTGTGGATATTATTTGTTTTATTTTATATAACACTATAACTGGTGTAATCCATATATTCTTGTCACAAGAATCCAGCAGCCACACCAACCCAGTGTGAAAGGGACCTTACTGGTGTGCCAGTGATAAAGGACACTGCGACTGGTGCAGTAGTGATTAAGGACACTGAGTGAGTGGTGGTGATTAGGGACACTGACTGGTGACAGTAAAAAAATTGTGTTATTCAAAAAGATGGAGCAGAATTCATTTTTCTGTTTCAAACAAAGGGATAGAAGTACATTCTGCACATCCATGGATAAAGGATGGTCTTTGAGGTTGTATGCACGCAACATGAGCACTATGGGGGTTATTTGCTAAAACTGGTAAGTGCTAAATCCTTGCAGCTCTGCATAGAAATCAATCAACTTCCAGGTTTTATTGCCGAAGCTTCATTGAACAAGCTGAAGTTACAAGCTGACTGGCTACCATGCACAGCTGCACCAGATTCTAAGTGTACCAGTATTAGTTAATCTCCCCCTATGTGTTGCATGACAAACATAAAAATGGTAGACTATTTGTTGCCACAGGCAAACCAACTGGTTACTAGTTGTTGAATTCACAGCTTAATCAATTCGGTTTCTCAGAGTAGCAGGCATAGGTGGGACAAATATCCTTCTTTTTATGTACTCCCACAGATAAAAATTGCAAGGGGTAAGGTCTGCTGACCTGGGAGGCCACGGAGTATAAACAAGATCTTGTGGTCCACTTCTTCCAATCCATTGCCCCAGAATGGTGTCGTTCAGATAACGCTGGACCTCCATGTGACGTCATCTGATGAGCGAGGATGACCAGTGCTCCGTTTGCATATACAATCATCTTCAACAAATTTTTATTGCCACTTGTAAATTTGCTTATGATGAGGTGGCTGTTTGTTGAACTGACAATGGAAATCACGTTGCCCTTGTACAATAGATTCACACTTTGCAAACTGCAGCACACAAAAGGACTTCTTCTGCAATGTTGCCATTTTCCTATAAGCAAGAAACAGAGCCGCTGTGTGTCATTGAATGAAACTTCTAGGTGAGCTTTTCACCTTGAACCATTCTCTATCAAGTGATGTGCAGTTTGTTTAAAATAAAGAGCTGTAGTAGTAGTAGTGGAGAATCACTATAGTGACAATGTACTAGTCTGGGAAGGTAATCATGATCACTGTCACAGCAATCTTTTTAACTGTTATGAATGGCTTTCATTCATGACTATTGTTTTACTCTTGTTTACTGTTGTGATGATGTGATTGGCCACAGCTTTCACATGGCACAGGGCCACTGTGATTGGCCCTTTACATCATGTGATCACTGCCATTCATCACATTTATTAACTTGGTGAGCATGTGATCGCTGTGATTGATCACAATGATCACATGGTACCAGGGCTGATCACAGCGGCCTGGTACCAATCCCTTGGTCCCACAGAGAGCCCCAGGGGGCAACTAGTGATGTCATATGATGTCCATCCGGTATACTATAGCCTGCCTATATTATTTCAATAGATCAGGTGAGAAGTGGTTGAGGAGCAGTCTTGGTGACAGTGTACACTGGCAGTACATATTTGGCTGTGGAATTGATTTTATTCTTGTAAAATTGCTTGGCTGTCATACAGCAGCAGGCCTTCTTCAGCTAGCTCTGGCTGCAACACATGTTTTTTCATTAGGTGGTAATAGGCTCACTTTGCTTGGCAGATAGAAATTGGTCAGTAGTTCACTGAGGCTGTCCCAGATCTCGCTGATACAAAACTGTCCTGCCACTGGCCATTTTTTTAATTAAACTCCCATTAAGAAACAGGCGACTTCAGATTATAATGCAGTATAAAATTGGCTGGCAAGACTGTTTTATTTAGGGACAATTTACCTAACCAGTGTATGACTAACTTTTTTTTCCTATAAGGATGGGGATATAGTAATTATGCCTGATTTTTTGGGGAGTTTAGGTGCCCACTTTTCTTTCACCTAGTTTTTTATTTCAAACAATGCAGCTACATGCTGCAAACAAAAAAAAACAGCTCCAAAACCACATGATCAGTAACAAATAAACACTGCACTTTGAGCACCTCAGCACCTTAAAGTGTTACTAAACCCAGGACCCTGCATTCACTATATCTGGTCTCCCACAGGACACACAACATGGAAATGCAATTATTTTAGTAAATATAAACTGCTAAATACCTATTCTCATCAGTAGTTAGAGCAGTCTTGTGACTTCTATCAGTGTTCATCGTGACCTCTATCTGGACAGTGTTGATTGGCCCTGTGCTGATCACATGCACTCTGCCAAGAAAAAAAAAAAACCTCTCTATCAATACACACTAAACTGAGCATGTGCAGAGTGTCTCCATACGATATGCGTTATCAAGAGATAAGAGGGGGACACTGGAAGAAGGGGAGGATCAGAGAAGACAGGATCAAACATCCTTTTTTACACAATGCAGAGGATTACCCCCTTCGGTTCCATAGTGAGTATAGCAAGAATGCTTTACTGCATATATAGACTGATTTTACTCTTGTAGATTTAGTAACACTTTAAGCTTAAATAATACCCTATCAACAGAAAATAAACCAAACCACCTCAAAAGAGATGAAAACCCCCCAGATGCTGATACTATGGCTGCCCTGTGTCACCCCTTTATAGTGAGGAGACTATCTTATCCAATGGCTCCCTTATTGGCCCTTCTAAGTCTGCTGCTAGCCATAGTTAAAAGGCCATACAATGCTCTATGGGTTTAAAAACATTTTCCCAGGCAAATCTGCACAAAATGCACCAATGCCAATTTCAAGCCTAAAGGATTTTCCTGCAGCAATTCCAAATCCCATCCCTACTTTTGGAGTTTTATAATAATATTAGGTGTGAATGGGGATTGGGAGAGTTTTTCTTTATGAGAAACAAAAATATGTTTTAGTAAAAGAATATTACAAAACAAAAATTTTAATTAAAAAACAAAACTATGTTTATTCCCCTCTCCCTTTACACACAGACATACACCTTACCTCCTATTGGTTCAGTATTGGCAAGTAATACACATAGCTTCATTGTAAATAGGCTGGTATCTGGCAAGCACATAGGAGTTTGTGCATCATTCTTCCGAATCAAGTTATAATGCCATACAACTGTAACAAGTGGTTTATTGTTTAGAACATAAAATGATATTTCTCTAAATTGAAGCCATTTCTAATATAGCCTCAAAAAACAGTTCATGTGGAGTCTAACAGATAACTCTTTATTGCAAAACGGTTTTGTTTATCGTGTATTCTCTAAACTGCAATATAGAGGAGGTTGACTAGCTCAACTACACACTGAAGGGTTCCCACTGAGTTGCTGGAAGCCTGCTACTGCAGAGTATACAGAGAAAATCACCATAAAATTCAGTGCTACAGTTGAATACAAACAGTCTTCAATTCCTGCTGTGATTTGGCATCCCCCTTTGGACAGCTGGAAACTGAGCATAGTATCTGCTGCCAAAAAACACATTATAAGGGAATTTGAATGCCCAGTTTCATGGAAACAAGCCGTAACTGACTTTATGACTCAGCTAGAAAATAATTAATAAAACCCTTGATTCTCTATATATGAAACCAGTGCAGCTCCATTCCCTGCCTGGTGCCTATGGCAGAAAGAAGAAAAAAAAAAAACTTTAATGAAAAGAACCTTCAATGCTTAAGCCATCAGCTCTACTTTAGATTTTAAGAGTGAGAAATTGCTAATAACATGTGTACCCACCTTCTGTTTCATTTTTATGAGTCTGCTGTTCAGGTATTATCCAAAGCACTATGCTGCTGCTTTTAGCAAAATGATTTTGAGTGCTTGATACTGTGCTAACAATGTAACCATGGTTATTGATTATTTGAGTGGTTTAGAATCTGCTTAGGAGTAAAGGAAAGGGCAAACAGTAAAGATGATTGAGCGACATCCTTTATATGGTTGTTATTTACAAAGAGAATAGACCTCAATGATTAAAAACAGGAAAGGGTACCCACCTTCCACTTCCCTCCTCCATGGACTACACATCTTGGCCATTTACACTGGCACAATGGCGCTCGCAGAAAAAAAACCTGTCCATATGGTCAGATATCACCATCAGGTATTTCAGACAACATTTCTGTTTGTAGTTCCAAGCATATATATGTTTGTGTGATAGCCACTTGGAAGTAAGATCATTCCACTGCCCTCTGCTGTTCAGATTATTAAAATAGATATTAAAATAGATATATATATATATACTTTATATTATATATTTGTTTAGTTTTTACTTTTAGGTCTGAGTATAGATCTATGTTTGTCCTAAGCATGTTGGAATCAAGTTTGACTCAACTGGCAACAGCAACGTTTAGCAATTTGTTAGTATTACGTCATTGTGAATGTAGTCCAGTATATGATCTTGAATACATCTAATGCAGCCTATAGATTAGCCTAATGGGTTGAATGAAAAAGACTGAATTGATTCCCCCATCCACACACTCCATGTGGATGTGGAACCCTCCCCACTGGGCTATTGTATTCTGACAGTGGGGAGACTTCCCCTTCATCAGAATGCACTGATCAGTGTTGAAGGCTATAGCCTGCAGCGCTGATTGAGTGGGGAAATTAAACAGGGCAGCTGTACAGAAGTTGAAAGGTAGATCGGCTTCTATACAACCTCCCTGCCTATACATAGATCCCTGCTGAAAAGGCCAAATTTCAATTCATGTGTGGCTGGCTTTACATACCATGTTAGAGAATACTGGAACTCTCAACAAGGGAAATGTCTTCACAAAGCTAGAGAAAAATGGATTGCTAGATTTCCCATTTTAGGTTTGCAGTGGGACTTTAACCTGCAGTTTAAATCAGAAAAACACATTCATGTTGAAAGAGAGCAGGCTTTCTTATTTAGGCTAGAGATGCTTTTTAAAGAAAATAAACTTTAAGACTTTGCACACCTTTTGTTTTGATGCACTCAGAATATATTTCGATAATTTAAACTGAAGGTTCAATTGGGCTTTTCACAATTGCATAGGTTAAAAAAAAACATACATCTGTCAAGTTTAAACAAAATCATTATTAAAAATCTTAAAACCCTAAGGTATGAAGCCAGCCTAAACTATCAAGCTGATCCAAAAAGGCAAACAGCTCTTTTTTGCAACTGTTTTTAAGAAAAAATCCTTTCTGATCCCCAAAGGCAAGCCAATTACTCCCTAGATCAACTTGTTACAATTACTTTTTTTCCTTTAATTATTTGCAGACGTACATTTGGGTGCACATCCAGCCCTTGTTTTGAAGCAATCTACTGATTCAGCTAATTCCTGAGGAAGACTATTCCCTATGTGGAGATTGAACCTCCTTTGCTCCCGTTGCAAAGATTGATTTATATCTTCTGTAGTGAAATTAAACCCTAAATTTAATTAATAATAATATTTTTAAAAATCAGCACAAGAAACATTATTTATTATCAATGCAATGCATCCCTTTTGCTGCTGGTTCCTGCCTTAGTTCAAATCTTCCTCCTCTGATCCCTTCCCCACTGCCATAGTCCTCCGGTGTGGAGGGGGGATCAATAGAGCCAAGGGATTTGTCATATGCAAGCAATCAAGAATTAAGCCTATGCTTGCCCTTTCTGCTTCCCTCTTTCATTCATAGAAGCTGTACTAAAGCTTCTATGATTGAAAAACAATCTATGAATGGAGGACAGGAAGATGAATGAAAGGTTCAATTCTTCCATTCACTTTTCATTTATATAAGTTATTACCTTGTAATGTAGCACTGACGTCATCACCTGTCCATAACCGGGCATAGTGCAAATCTGTGGAAGCTACTCAGCAGGTTCATTGACAACAGGCTGCTACCAGAAATCTACAGGGAGGTGGACGCAAGATCAGTCACTCTGCACAAGGAGAGAGAGCAGCAGTGACTGGTCGGTATTACAGGAAGCTTCTCTACACACTGGATTACTGCACAGATTAGGAAGAAAAACACAAAGCACTCCATAAATCAAGTGAGAATACAGGTGAAACTCGAAAAATTAGAATATCGTGCAAAAGTTCATTTATTTCAGTAATGCAACTTAAAAGGTGAAACTAATATATGAGATAGACTCATTACATGCAAAGCAAGGTAGTTCAAGTCGTGATTTGTCATAATTGTGATGAGCAAACTGTTGGCGCTATATAAATCCTGTATAATAATAATAATAATACAATCAAAATAAGCTTACCCAAAAACATTCTAGGTTTCCTCTAAAGCAGAGGTCTCCGAACGTTTTATACAAAGGGAGTTTACTACCCTTCGGACTTTAGGGGGGCTGGACTGTGGCCAGTTGGAGTAATCCATGTCTCAAGCTTTGTGGTCAGTGGGATTAAAACAAATTTTCTCCTGTTATCTGTAGGATGAGGGGTCCCCCAGGGCTCTGTCCTTGGACCCCTTCTCTTCTCCATCTACACCTCCTCCCTTGGCAAACTCATACACTCCCACGGCTTCAACTACCATCTCTATGCTGATGACACTCAAATTTACCTCTCCACCCCTCACCTCACCTCCACTTTCTCCGCCCGCATCACTCACCTCCTAAACGACATCTCTGACTGGATGTCGCTCCATTTCCTCAAACTCAACCTCTCCAAAACCGAGCTTCTCGTTTTCCCTCCTGCCCGCGCCCCCCCCCCCCCATCCTATCCATCACTACTAACATCACCACCATCAATCCCGCCCCGCAAGCCAAAGTCCTTGGAGTCATTCTGGACTCTAACCTCTCCTTCCAACCTCATGTCAAATCACTCACAAACACATGCAGACTCCACCTCCGCAATATCGCCAAAATACGCTCCTTCCTTACCCCAGACACCACTAAACTACTTGTGCACTCCCTGATTATCTCACGCCTTGACTACTGCAACTCCCTCCTCACCGGCCTACCCCAGTGCAGGCTCTCCCCGCTTCAGACCATCCTCAACTCAGCGGCTAGACTCATCCACCTCACCACCCGCTCCACCTCTGCCACCCCCCTCTGCCTCTCCCTCCACTGGCTCCCTATCGCCCAACGCATCAAATTTAAACTACTCACTCTGACCTACAAAGCCATTCACAACACTGCCCCTAACTACCTCACCAACCTGATTCCCAAGTACCACCCTACCCGTACCCTTCGCTCTTCACAGGACCTCCTTCTATCTTGCTCCCTGGTCTCCTCCTCACACGCACG